CGCGAACTCAGAAAAGACGTTATCCACGATAGATCAATCGGCCATTATGCCGAGGTCGGCGCATCGAGCTGTTCGATATAACTTCTTGCCGCGCAATAATAGTCATCTCATTGGGCGATTTGATAGTGCTTCGAAGAATGGTAAATATAGATCGTGGGGGGGGGGGGGGTATTTAATCGGTGACGATGTGTGGAGAACTGCCGTGGCTGGAAATCCCGGCAGTTTATCTGAGGTTCGCTCATTGGAATGATATTTCAGTTTGAGAAGAATGCCAGCTATTATTCGAACGAGAAATCGCAAATAGAACTTCTGTTATGCGAACTCCGATTATAGGTGTAGTGTTTGTCCTCAGACAGTATCATATGAATAGAATTCTACTGCATGTGCCATTCTACGGTCTTCATTATAAATTAATGTATGAATGGCCGGTCTTTGTTCGGTTTCTACATAGAGAAACATGACCAGTTTTCAATTTCATTCAATCGGATCGAGAATAAATTTTCTTTTATTAGATTTAACCGTCTGTTGTTGAGATGACGTACTTAGGGCGTGAAGTTCGAAATGGAGACACCCAAACTTTCAGTTAATTTATTCATAAATGTAGAAAATTTTTGACAATGTTTCTTACTAATCTACCTATTAAATACTAAAGAATATAGGTGTGTCGTATAGTGTCACATGATGGATTTCATTTTAATTTGTAGCTTTAATAAACTTCATCTCATAACAGAGGGTTAAATTTATATCTCATTATATTGTTTCACGAATCAGAATTTTTAAAATTAAGCTAAACTAAATTTTTATGCAGAGGCTGCACGTAATGCAGATAATACAAAGAAATATATAAAATTGCATTATTAGCGTTGTTATTGCTCCATCTCAATAAATTTCTTTTGTAAAAAAGCATAAAGCTTCACAATCTACCAATAATCTGATATCAATTCGAATTCACACAAAATTACTAGAATCTACAAGCCTTCATTGTACCAATATCAATTGTCGATTCAAATTCAAAAAACACCACCGAAAGATAAAAGCTTCACTCTCGCTGACGGTTTGTGTTAGACATTCGCGACAATTAGGAAGAAAAATCTGGCGGTGGCGACGTGTTACGACAACGAGGAACGACGAGGACGATGGGGGCCATTCTATTATACTTCTAGCTCTCTGCTAGAGTCGCGCGAGTTCTTCAGGAAGGGTCGAGAGATTTAATTAAGGGAGAGCGACGGACAGAAAGACGAGTCGCTACGTCGCGTCGTGTAAACTCGAGCTTTGTGCCGGTGTGTTCCTGTCGTAGCCTCGGGAACGAGCCAAGTCGTTCCTCCTTCTTGCCATTCTGGAAGATCACTCGAAAACTCGTGAGAACGCTACACACGTCTACGACGTAGATTCTGTTCGGCCGAGCGTGTGCGTCAAAGTTCGTCAGGCCACCCTGATTCCGGTGAGCGAGGAACTTTTGTCCGAGGGCCCTGTTTTCTCTCCTCTTGTACATCGGAGTCGTTGTGTGCGCGGGAACCGAGCCATTTCGTCCGACTGACTTCACTTGCATGCTGATCGTCGAGAAATCCCGGCCCTCGTTTATTTTCTGAATTTTACAGCGAATCTTCGCTGAAAGAATTTTATGGATTTTCGTGCAAATTTATATTACAACTTAGACGATCATAACGAATATTTAATAAAATTTTTGGATGTCAGCTCTCGACTGGCGCCATTGAGCCATTGGGGATCGTAATTATTTTTGGAATTTTCAGTTTAATTTTAATTTTGTTATTAACCTTCATCGTGGTGAATATGACACAGAAAATAAAACTAATTAACCGTAAATTTTATAACAGTAACGTAACATAAATTTTGCAATCATTCCAACAATATTCATTCGTGGATTAAATGCATTCTATGTTTAAATATCAATTTAACAGTTTAATGAATAAAATCTGTAGCCTAGTTACAAATATCTTTTTTAATAATCGTATTATTGTTGAGTAGTTTGTTTCTCGATAATTTCTTCTTCTTGAAGAGTCCTTTTAATCGCCAGATTTTATATTTCTAAGAAAAAGAGAAATGATTGGAAAATATTTTCAGACAAAGATGTAGAGATTTCAATGAGACGATACAACACACGAGGTGGAAATACCTTTAAACAAAAGTTCTCTGAACCTCAGAAAATTGAGTTCATTGTAGGACAACTTGGGAACTTGCGCCAGTGTCGAGCTAGTTGTGAACATACTAGAAACCTGAATCGAAGTTTCAGTTTAAGATGCGCCGAGGCGATAGGCCTATCGCGCAAGAAGTTGCGGAATCATCCTCTAGCATACTTTTGAAATCTTCATGCAGGCAGCTAGCAGGATAAAATTATACTTGGACGCAAAATATTTTCTTTATGAACGATGTTGTAACTTGACAATCATTTTCTTAGAAAATACAATACGTAATTAGATTCGAAACTTCATATTTTCTTGATAAAAACGAAACCTCGCCCGCTACACGCTATATCGCAGTTTAGGTCATCAAGGTATTAATCATTAAAGTAACGAGATATTTTCCAATAATTATCCATTTCGACTTGAAATTCTCCGAATCTCCTTCTCGCTTGTTCCATCACGTACACTGTTCGTGAGATTTCGCGAGATTCGACGAAGCGTCACAGTTCACAGCGGCGACTACTGGCATTCATAGCACTGGTGTCGCCCAAATCACGGGCCGGCACTCCCGAAAGGCCGAGTCCCGAAACACAGCTCGCAGCATCATCTGCTCCGCGGTCGTGGTTTCAGCGTCAATAATTCGCAAAGGCTGCGGGGCAGCCTCTAACCGACTGATTTCACGCATCTGGCGTTTGGTGGTTTGGTCTGGTTGGATCTGTGCCGCTTGCACGCCGAGAGCAACGGCGAAAGACGTTCGATGCTTACGTGCGAGAGTGTAGGACACACTTACCGGGGGCAAGACGATAGAAAGCGAGACAGAGAACGAGCGAATAGAACAAGAAAGAGCAAAAGAGAAAGAGATAGAGGGAGGAGGAGACGAGAGAGAGAGAGAGAGAGGGAAAGTATGGCCAGTCCCTGCCTCGCCGCCGTGGTGGTCCCGTGATCAATATTCCTTACCCCCTTTGCCTTGGCTTACCCCTCCGGCGCGGTACGGGTGCCCCTTACCTCGTGAAAACCCTCCTTCTGCTACCCACACCCACATCCTCCCACCTCCCTTCAGGGAGAACCCGGCAGAAACCCCTGAAACCCCTCTCGCACCCTCGTCTTAATTAGGAGTCTGAATCTGCGGCGGACACGCGTATAAGGGTAGGCTGCTGGAGATCGGCAAAGGCTGGGCGGGGAGCGGGTTGTGGGTGCGAGTGGGCGAGAGCGGGTGTAGAGCAGAGCTCTCGGGGCAAAGCCAGACGAACGTCGTGTCCGAAGCATTATTCCCAACTTTCGTACGATCGCCGCTTGCGTCACGGACGCACCCGGACGACCCTTTTTATTATTCCCAGAAAATAAACACATTTGCGCTTCCTTGCCCTGTTGCTGCTGAGCCGCCGGTTTTCCACCGGTGCCTCGAGCCTGCGTGCCTCTTTCGTCCGTCCCTTCGTTCTGGACGAAAGAACTTCGCCTTGCTTCCACCCGTCCAGTAATTAGCTGTTGTTCCGCTGGTCCGGATTTAAATATGACGGCGGATGCGTCGCCGGGGGTTGATACAACCGGCGGTTGATGATATTTTCCATCCGTGAATTTCGTTTTTCTTTTTCCTTTTTTTTTTCTCTTCTTCTACTTTTTACTTGTACTTGTTCCTTTGGTGTTTTAGGGTCATGCTCGTTCTTTGTCGTCGCAATTGGTAGATAGTTGGCTGGGAGGGTGGGAGGGGGTCAGACGTTGGCGCGAGTCGCGCTGGTCGGGTCACTATACCTAACGAAGCGCATTGAAAAGTTTCAACTCTCTTGCCAATTTGCTTCCGACTAATTTCTTCCCGTACCCTCTCGCATTTTCCAACGTCTCCGCCTTCATGTTTCTTGGTTGTTTCGCTGAACGTACGCGTCCACGATCTTCTCAACAATCAGTGTATCCTACTTCTGCAAGTAATCCTTGCTTGTAAAGAGTTTATTCGTTGGCATTAAGTCTCAACTAGTTGCAGTATTGGCGATAACAACGATCTACGATTAATTAATTTTGTAATTTTTTAATTTTTCCAATTTTTTTTAAACAAATATCTGGTAATCTAACAAAATTTACTATCGCTATATCAGGGAATTGAGGGAATAATTGATCCGAGGGAAATTGCTGGACATTGGATTCGATCGTCTTGGATAAATCGAGGAGGGAAATAGTCTCGATAATGTCAAAATAATTAATCGACGCTGGAGGGTAGTCGAATTTTAAAGAAACACACGCCGCGCACGGGAGCGAGCCGATATCGCTCGGATCTCTCGGTTCGTGAACGTATTTACATGCATGGTACATACAGGCAAAGTACATAGAGGGTAGCGGCGGTGAGGCTGAGCCGAGAGGATATTGGGGTTAGGCCATTCATTAGATTACGGGAATTCGGTGGTGCCCGTTGAGGGGCAGAAGAGAGGAGAAGATTGGGGAAGAGGGGTGAAGATGCGGGATTGGATGCACGATCGGGGACTAACCTGCGTGCATTAGCTGGCGTCACGAGACGCAGCAATAACGGAAAAGGTTAAAAAGACGTGCCACAGACGAGAAGATTGTCCTTTTCCACGCGTGAATGTAATTTTGTTCGCGCGCAATCAACTCTAATTTGGGAAAAAATTTATTTGGAAAATATTTAAATATTTACTTTGATACGACAATCAGACATTTGGAAAAGATTCTGTGCTATAGACTTTGGGAAATATATTATAGATTTATTTTAGAATCAAGGGGTAAACATTGAGAAGATGAGTAAATGGCGCGAAGATAATTACAATAGAAAAATAATACCTGCTTCATATTTATTATAATTTGTTATTATGTATTATAAAATTAAGTAATTATGATTGATTCTTTCTGTTACAGAGTCGATCCTTACGAGGCGGGACTATCCCCGCCAAATCATGAACAAGGTAAGCCAATGGTATCTCTGAACAACATAAATTGACGGATAATGTAAGATACAGAAAGTACAGAATATTGAAAATTCGTGTTAATATTTGGTATCGAACAACGTTAATAACGACGATGTTCGACGATTTGCATTGGCCGTCAGCGAGCATGGCGAGTCAGTTACTAGGGAAAATCGATCCAACACCTTTAATCGCTTTTCATGCAGCATGCGTCGGTCATTATGTGCTCGTATTTTCGTCGGCTATTATTTTAATGGTCTGTATTGAGCAACCGACTACTCTACCGTGAGTGAAATTCATTGACAGAAACTATAATAACACTTAACAACCCATGAAGTTACTCGTACAACATAATACGAATTCCTTATTTCATCAGAAATATCGAAATTCAATAACAATTACGTTTTTCTTTAAACATTTTTTTAGATTCTTAAATAGACTTTACCTTAACGTTTAAAGGTTTTGTTTGATTCAAATTGGTAAATGAAAATAATGATGTCAACACGTAATGCAACTATCAACTTAAAATCTACTTAAGAGTTAAGAATACGACATTGTTCGGAAAAACATTTTCGAGATATATTCACATAACTTGCACGTCTGAAATAACTTTCAGATTATGCGTATCTAATGAAAAAATTGTTTAATAGAAAAGTTGTATGATTTTAATGCAAAAGATGGCGTATCGATCTTTTATGTGCGTGTCAAGGGATTTCGAAATTTTCCAAGTTCATCTTCATTTTTTTCTGAATTGGACCATGCACGACCCACATATTTCCCCTAAAAGTCCATTCTCTAAATCTCGCATCAGAGTCCGAAGATCGTTGCGCGTCACAACGCGAGCGCAGCACAAACAGCAGGAGATTAACCGAGAACTTTACGAGTGCACCGTTTCCGAAGTTTCCACCGGGATAACTAAAATCAGAGGGAGAAGTTTTTAACTTGGTTGCGCGTTTAGAAGTCGCGGATAGCAACGGTGTGTAACCCAACGTAGGTGAGAGGGCTGGTTTCGCGAAGTCTTTCACACCCCGCCTAAACCTCTGTGCGTGTGCACGTGCACGTTTGCACGCGTTGGCTACGCGTATCTGGCCCGAATGTGTATGTATAACCGGAGCCTCATTTGTAGGCCCTTTATACGCCGTCTGCCTTTCCTCATTATGCATTGCACATGAGAAAACTTGCTTGGAATCTCTCCTCGTCTCTGTCGCTCCTTCCTCGCCTCACTTTCTTGCCGCTCCCGTTCGACGAGGTAGGGTGTTGATCCCTTCACCCCCGTCTCCGACCCTCGTTCCTCCACTTCTTCTACTTTTCTCTCTCTCTCTCTCTCTCTCTCTCTCTCTCTCTATGCCTCGACTGGTAGCTCTGCTTCTTTATAAACTTTTAATGACGGCGAAGCCTAATCGAGAGAACGAGCGAACATAGCCGACCTCGCCTTGCCTCGCGAAAGCTATCCAAGAAAATCAACGTTGAATCTCGATTTTCGATACTGCCAGGCGAATGTCTGTCTTGAGGAAAGCTTGCTTGACGAGGCTACGGTAATTGCGGGAGGTCTGATCGTTAATTGTCATCGATTAACTAGTTCCCGAGAGTATAGAAAAATATTTAAAAATCACTTTTTTCAAGAAACGACTATTGGGAAGATAGGCAGTTTTAGTACGTGACAACAATTGAAAAAGAAAATTTATTCGTTGCAATTAAATCGATTTTCATTTTATCACCGGGGAAATAGAATAAATTTAAAACGAAACGAAGAAAAAAAAAATTATAGTCACCTTTCGTTTTTTTTTTTTTTTTTTAAAGAAACCAATTATTAGAAAGGGAGAAGTTTTAGTAGATAAAAGAAACTTATTCATCATAATTAAATTAATTTGACCGTAGGAGAAAGAAGTTTTAAAAGTTGCAACAAGTTCGGGCGAAAAACGAATTAACAGCACGCGATGGTAATTCGATTCGCAAGCTCGCACGGAATATAATATCTCGTGCGCGATGGACAAGATATCGCTTCTCGATTTGTATGGAAAAGTGCGCTGATGCATTCGACGACTCATCCGGCGTTTACGCTCGGTCAGCTTCCCAGTTGAATTAAACTTCTACGGCGGAATTTCATTCTCCGGCAGCCGCTTCGAAGGCACGCGTATTTGCGATATATGTATAGAGAACAGTTTGTACCTGCCAAATGCTTTGCCGAAGTTCTGTACACAAACCTTAGCGCGAAGGTGGTTAACTGTTTGCTATACTGAAATAGCCTCTCGTTAGAGCAGACTAAAATTAACGTATCCTGAGACCGGGGGTGGTCTCAAATACATTGGGCATCGTCTTTTTTGGGCGGCGATTAATAAGTTAACGTGAAAGAATTATATTTTGCAGAAAAATATAATTTTATTTGTTCGTAGAATCATACGGTTACCTTTTCTTACAGAAAGGCTCGAAGGATTTAGATTCTTCGGTAGACGAAAATTAAGAATCAGTTTCTGTCACAGAAAGAATTCCAGGACTGTCAAGAATTTTATTTTTCGATTGAATTATTAACTTTTTAACGTGGAAAGATTTTATTCGTACTGTGTAGTAGAATGGTAGTAGACAGTAGGAGAAGAAAGGTAGAATTAAGGTTACTGCAACGAAAGCGTTCCGATTAGCAGAGTTTTATTTCGTGCCATACCATATATTAGCGAATTGGACCGGACATTCGGTATACGACCTACTATCGTCTTTTCTTACCCTTAGTAAATGGGGGGACAACAGAAAGGTTAAAACCTTCGACTCCTAAAGTACGATTAAACTAACCCTTAGTTATTTCTTCCGTATACGTTGCTACGTACGTTCTGCTCCGTCGCTATATACATGCTTCCTGATCATTAGTTACGACTTCCTTGGGATCACCGACGAGAATTCGAAGTTCATATTTCCTTTCTACTCGCAATAAAAATTTCTAGACTATCTCTAGGAACAAATAAGAAACGAAAGTACAGAGACACGAATATTTCTCTGAAATCGATCTGAAAATTAACATTTAAACATTTCGAGTTTAAACAAAAAGTATGGAAAAGTCCTTGCTAGTATCATTTCCTTTTCCCTTTCCTTTCTTCGCTAAACTGAGATATAAAAGTTTGACGATCACTGTAAGGATTATATCAAATTCGATGATTACCGTTGTAATTTTATTTTCACAGAAGAAAGTCGCTCGCCTCCTCGAGTCAACGTTCTCAGAGAAATTATCCGATCGGTTAAAGTGTTCGCGGGCGTCATTTAGCGGGCGGCACTCCTTCATAAAGGACCTTAATAAAAATCCCAATCTAAACAAGCTTAATTTACGTCCGCCGCATAATTACCTACCCCCGGAGGCGAGAGACCCCCCTTCGTTCTCGCTTGGCCTTTTTTCCTCCCGTTTGGCGTTGGCAAACCACTTCTGGCGTGCACCAGCAGAGAGCGGCGAAAAAGAGAGGCGAAGCGCTATGGTCCGCAGGCGTGCTTCCTTCGTCGTCGCCGGTGTCGAGGGCTCTCTGAAAAATCTAAGAGGCTTAAAGCATTAAAAGGGTTATATAACATTCATTAACAGAGCGGGGTCAGCCTTTGTGGGAATTTCCCTTGGAAGCGGACTGCACCGTGCCTGGACACCGCCTTCTCGGCCATTTCTCTTCTCCAGGTTGCAATTTCGCCCCGTCGAGGATGTTCCGCTCTTTCTCTGACGTTCCACGCAAGCTTAATCTCTCCTTGTCTCTAGGGGGAGGGGGGAGGTAGGTGGAGTGCAGGATAGTCGTGTAGCGGCTAGCAGATGTCGGAGAAAAGACGTTTTCTCAGACAACAAAGTTAGAAGAATTTACGACTCACGTGGCGGCGACGCTATTGAAGAGGCGGAAGACAGTTTTGTAGTGCGTTAGATCGAATGTCCGCGCTTATAGTTTTATAAATACAGCCTCGATAGCATTTCTACGAAGCGTCGTAAACTCTTGGATTCCTAAGGGCCACCCAGATCAACATCTGGAAAACATTGTAAGAAAGTGAGTGAGGCCC